ATATAAAAATATAAATATATATTTATATAAATACATTTATGGAGCTATGGTGGCCTTGTGGGTAAAACATTGCATTGCTAACACAAACAAAGGCAGGTGGTTAGAATCCAACAGGTGCTCCATGTGAAAAAGATGGGTAGTCTCTTCCCATGCGATTTTTAACCTCTGAAAACCGCCTGGAAGCTCAGCTATGAGTTGGTTCTGACTTAACAGTACATAATAGTAGCAACAACATATACATGTAAAACACAACAGCTCATTGCCTTCAAGTTAGAACTGACTCAGAGCTGACCCTCCAGCAGATTTTCAGAGGCTGGAAATAGCACAGCAGGTGATTCTCCTGCAGAGCAGCTAGTGGACTGCCAACTTCTTACCCATTAAGCTACCACACACACTAAAAAGAAAATTACCATATTTGTCTTTTAAGGTAAATAGTTCTGAAAGTCCCTTAAAAGTAGTGTCATGTTTTTCTCAGCCTTCTTAAGTGGTCACTCTTAGCTTTTCTAGCTGCTGTTGCTGACAACTTCCTCCATATTTTCATGCATTTTTCACCATTTCTTAACTTAACCATGTTAGACCTTATCTGTTGACTTCTGACCATGGTAGAACAGGATATAGTCTTCCCATAGATATCAAGTACACACATCTTCTAATAGAAAAGCTCCACCAAATGTTTTACACAATATATGGAAAACATGAATGTGACAACATTTCAGAACACTAGAGATGAAGTCCCAAAAATAATCCAGAAGGAAAATAAAGTGGGTTTAAGATATGTAAAGGATTTGGAATCAGAATACCATCATACGTATGTAGTTATATGTATATCAAAATATACTCAAGAAAATGCAAAGACAAAACCCACAGGATGAAAGAAAAATTTGCAGAATCATTTCTCTTAATGGGATCTGATGTTCTGGATATTGAAAGAACTCAAATGAGTCAACTCAGCCTGAAAATGAACAAAAGACTTGAGTAGATTTTTTTTTGTAAAAAAAGAAAATGTGCAGTAGCAGTACATGAAAAGGTGCTTAGCATCATTAGCCATTAGAGGATGCAAATCACAGTGAGTTACCACCTCATATCCCCTTGTTGTTGCTTGGTTTTATAAGAGCCTTTGTTAACTTGAATGCCACATACCATGCAGTATTTTCTCTATACTCAGTGACAGCATTACAGCCATTCTCTTCCCCTCACCCTACCAGGTGATCCTCCCTAAACCTCTGTCCTGCTCCTATCCAGACAGATTACTCCTGGCCTTTCATAAATGATTATTCAAAGATATGCACCCCTTTTCCTCCTGGGTCCCTGTCTCTTAGGTTCCACCTTTTCCTTTCTTCTTCTTTTACTCCATTTTGTGCTCCATTTTGCTGGTGACTAAGAAAGTGTGTCTAAGATAAACTTTTAATGTGTCTTTAGTTGTCTATAAGTTTAATTACATCTTCACAATTAATTGACAGTTTGGCCAATCTAGATTGAGAATCATTTTCCTTTAGAATTTTAATGGCGTTGTCTTAGAACTCGACCATTGCTGTAGAAAAGCTGATGCCATTTCAGTACCTGCTTCTCTTTAGGGGACCCATTTTACTTCTTTATTTTCCTTTCTGAAAGTTTTATGGTTTTACCTTTATTGGTGGTATTCCGTAATTGCCCTCTCATTGATAGGACTTCTTTTCCCTTACTTATGTGTCACACTTACTAAGTCTTTACAGTTACAAAATGTGAAGTCCTTAATGCTAAAAAATTTTCTTCTTTCTTTTATTTTTTTTTTTATAAATTCTTCTCTAGTTCTTTGTTTCTTTTCCCTGACACTCCTGACATAATCATGTAAATCCCTTCTTTTTATCTTCCATGTCCATCTCTTAGTAGGATTCTCTTGAAGTGTTCCAAACTTGTCATTCCAGTTTCCCAATTACTTTTTTGATAATTCAGTTGTAATCTTCTAGCTTGCTTATAAATAAGGAAAACACAAAGAGAATAATGATTTATATGAAGAGATCCTATTGAATTGTCAAAAACGCAGTTCTGTAGTATATTTATATAAGTAACTTGTTTTTTCAGAATAAAGATCATGCTCTTCCAAAATCCATTACACAGAGATCAGAGTCTAATAGAAAAGATAATTTTCACCGGAGAACATGAATATGTTGTTAATATCATGTATACAATTAAAACATAATTTTATTATTTCATAGTGTGTGTAGCTACTTGTCTGTGTTCAGGAAACATAAGTATAAAGTATCATCTTACAAATTTACCACTTATTTAATATCCAAATTTTCTTTTTAATAATTCAGCTCATATCAGAATATATGTTTGTCTAATTAGCTCTGCACAGTAAAACAAGTTTAAAGTAACACTTTTCTTTCTCTTTAGACTTTAAGTGATGTGAGAAATCTCAAATTTCCACAACTGTTTACTCAAAAATATCCACAAGAGGTATGTATAATTCTTATCTTTGGTTGCTCTAGAATCCTATTTAGAACATAAGAAGTCCTTAGTTGTCATCTAGTCATTTCCCCCATTTCACTCAGAGAGGAAAAGAAATACCCTCCATCCCCCTCCCCAGCACACAGCTTGTTAAACTCAAATGCAGGTGCTTGGATGCCAGCTTGCTCAGCCCCAGGCACTGTGTTCCGTGCTGGGTGAGCTCCGCATGGGTTTGTTCCAAAGGAAGGCTTTTCAATGAGGCTGAGCACTTAGAGTGGAATCACCCCGTGGGAGAAGACTGGAATACTAGTGCCAAGTGCAGGATTATTTCCTTATAAAAAGAAGGAAAAATGATGCATTAAATTTAAAAACAAACAAACAAATAAATAAATAAATAAAATTAAAAACCAATTGGCTTTTTACATTTTCAGCTAAATCACAAAAAAAGAAAAGCCATTACTCTCTTTGTTAAACCACTCAGAGTGACACAGTAAATGATTCAGAGTAGTGAAAGGGTAAAAGGAAATAATTTTGATAAATGAAAAAGAAAAAAAAAGCCTTACAAGTTTTGTTCCCTATACAGGAATGGTTATTTTTATCTCATAATATGCTTGATTCACACATAAAATATGCCATTTAAAAATTTTTACTTTGATAAATCAAAATTTTTTAACAATAAATTAGATACACCAGTGATCAAATTTTGAAAAAGTAAAAATGTATCTTTCAACATTATAGTCAATGATTGCATTAAAATTAGCTTTGATATATTATCCTTAAATGCAAAAGGATTGTTCATAGGGTCGCTGTGAACTCAACTTGACAGTAGTTAACAACAACAAAAAAATGAAACATGTTTTTTTACTAAAGTCATTATGTTATCATGTTTTCAAAGCTAATGAGTTGATTCCCAGAATGGCTCATAAAAGTAGTAATGAACATTAATGAAAAGAGGCTTATGAATTGTAATGAATTAATGTAGCTCTCACACACAGTTATTTTTTAGTTGACATTTCTATTGATAGGAGCCCTGGTGGCGTAGTGCACAGGGAGAGATGAGCTGCCAACCCACAGATAGTCCTGTCTTGGGGTTCAAATCTACCATCCACTACAGGGGAGGAAGGTGGACAGTTTCCTTCTATCCATTTAGAGCTTGAGAAAACCCCTTGGGGTCAGCAAGGAGTCTGTTCCAACTCCCCGGTGATGAATTTGAGGTTTGTTGTTTTCTTTAAAAAAAAAAAAATTAGATGTTAAGAAACAACCAGTTATCCCAAAATGGTCAGTGTTTATTTTGATGAAAGGTTGACATACTACATGGGACATAGGTGCAACATGCCCATTCATTTGCATAGTGCTCCTGACTGCTCTTGAGGAGCTCTACTGGCATACTTTCCAGTAGTTCTGACTCCCCAGCTGCTCCTTGGAAAATGGGCCCTCTCCTGCAGTTAAGACTCACACCTGGAAACCTGCTGGAGGCTGTGAGCGATGGTGACAGGCTGAGGGGCAGCGAGTTTATGAATGCTTTTATGCTTTCATGGCTTGTTTTGCAGAGCTTAAAATATTTACAGAAAAAGTTTTGCAGAGAACTGTTTTATAGCTTCAGTGTAACCCCTTCATCACAAATCCATTTTTGTATTTCAGTATGTGATGGTTCAACACATGCTCTCTCTGTCCCCTGTGGAACGTCCTGAAGCTACTGACATTATTGAAAATGCTGTTTTTGAAGACTTAGAGCTTCCAGGGAAAACAGTGCTGAGACAGAGATCTCGCTCCATGAGCTCATCAGGACCAAAGCATTCCAGACACCCAAGTACCTCCCACAGCTCTTTGCCAAGCAGCTCGCCTTAGGTCATACAGTCACCCCTAACAGGTGACACAGGGTGGCCCACCCCACAAGAATGTGACTTTCCAAAATTGTGGTTTTTGCTCTATCCTACTTTGGACTGACTTAGCTAAGTCACATTTAAACTGACCTCTGGAGCATGGCCTAACTTGAGCCATTTCTGAATTTTGTTGCTTCCCAGGAGAAGACTCCACAGAGCTTTCCCGTGTGGTCCGGTTCTTTGGTAGGCTCTTGAAGCTGACTGGTCAACCTTGAGAACTCTCACCTTTTGCCCGAAGTAGTAGATTCAATCTTTTAAAAATAGAGAATTCAAGCAAATATTTTTTTTATCTTTCAGAAAAATAACAGTCCCCATGTATGGAAACAATATTTTCTAGGAATATGCTTTCTAGAGATGATGATTCTGAAGCTGATTGCCTACAAATCTGATGACTCTTTGTCCCTGGTGGGTAAATTAGGAATCAGCACTATTTTGGAGGACAAATAGCACAAATTGTATAGCTGTTTATCTCCATAGCTAGTTTTATAGTGATCCTTAGATGCTTCGAGGGAGGATTTTTTTATGCTTTTATCTCTGATAAGTGGAAAATGAAGCTTTTTATGTTAAAAGAAAAAGAGCCAAAAAAAAAAAAAATTCAACTTCAGTTTGAGGATGGAAAAAAACTGTAGTAAGAAACAACTCATATGTTAAAACTAACTTCTTCAGTTATGGACTTTTTAAGCCTAATGAAAGCTTAGATATCTTCTCTATGGTCCTCTAAGTTGATACTGCTCCCAAATTGATTCTAGGTAACAGTTTAATCATCTAATTTGACTAACATATTGTTACTTTTTACTGTATATATGTTTATTTTTTATTTATAAGAATTCTGAGATCAATCCATTTGGGTTGGTGGTGTACAGAACACACTTAGGTGTGCTAAACTATTGTGACTTCTTTCAAGTCTAAATGATTTAATAAAACTTTTAAAAATATGACTTGGTTGATAATCATTTTGTGAAATTAACCTCAAGATAGTAGTTTTAAGATTTTATAAAATGTGGTCACCGGTCAAGGAACGATCATAATCTTAATACTTTCCTTGGCAGAGCTAAGTCCTATTAAAAATCTGTAGGACTCTCACACAGGACACATTTGTGTGGCACCTCCCTTGGGCTTGGGTCTGGGAACATGGCCCGGTGCTAAGGGGACCTTGCAGAGGATGCCATGACTGTGGCTGTGCCAGGCTCAAGAAAGCACAGTCAAGGCAGCGGGAGGCATTGCAGCTGAGTGAGCATGCCGCTGGCCACAGCCTGTGCCAGAGCGTGTGATGACTTTGATTTTCTTGACGAATAGTGCCATGTGACCTGTGCAGGGGTATGTGGTGATTTTTATTTTACTGACAAATAGTGCCATAGGGGCTGCCACACAGTTCTCAGCCATGTGTAGTGAACACCTGGCAGCTGTCTGGGCACTGTGTTCCCTCTCTGGCCTTCCGCATCCTGTGGTCCTCCTGGACAAGAGTCCCTGTCTTCTACAGCTGTTGGTTCTTCTACTTCAAGTGCTGCATGATTTCTTCTTCTTGTGTATGCTGTGGATTTCTTCTCCATTCCCACCACCTCAGGCATGATGGAGGCACTCTAGGCCCTGACAGGGACTCTGGGTACCTAAGCATCATCATTCCTGTCTACTTCAGGTGGAGGTGTACTGGTGCTGTGAGGCCCTGGGTTACAAAGTCTGCAAGCAGCAGGCCAGAACCAAAACCCCAAGTATTTATTTTGAGTCAGAGTTTTTCTACTCCCTGGGACCGAGCTTGATAATGTCTAGAAATCTTATGTGATATGGTTAGGCTTGCATTAATTTTCATTCTGAGTATTTATTGCTCATAACAGCCCCATAAGACAGTACAGAACTGCCCTGGAGTGTTTCCCAGACTGCAGTCTTCTCAGAAGCAGATTGCCAGGTCTGCAGAGCCCTTGGGGGTTCAAGCACTGGTTAGCAGTGCAGTGACTCATTGGTACCAACAGCAGTACCCTTGCTTAAGAACAGACATGAGAAAGTTAGCTGCTGCACCAGCAGTACCTAGCACTGCTGGGGTAGCGGGAATGCATCTGCCATGCCGCCCAGACCATCAGTGATCAGCATATCCCATGCCCCAGAAAGGGCGGCTGCTCTCCTGTTGTCTAAACAAACCTCACTTGCCTCTGCTTGAGCTGCTGACCCTCCAGCAGGTTTTCAGATGTAGTAAATGGCATGGGAGTTGACTGCCCATCTTTCCCACATGAAGCAGCTATTGGGTTTGAACCATATATCTTTGAGTTGACAGTACAGCTCTTTACCACTAGGCCAAGCAGAGCTCCAATTGCCTTCTGTTGTTGAGTGCTGTCAAGTCAGAACTGATGCATAGCTGACCCTTCAGTGAGTTTTCAGAGGAGGGGCAGTAAATTGTACAGGAATTGATTGCCCACCTTTCTCATGGAGGCTCAAACCCCATGCCTTTGGAATTGCAGCACAGTTTCTTATTACCATTAGGCCACTAGAGAGATCCATCACAATCTAGCTGAGTCCCATTTGTAGTAGTTCTGTTGTTACATGACATCGAGTCAACGAGGACTCAGTAGCCCTATGAACAATAGATCAGAACTTTGACCTATCCTGCACCATCTTTACCATATTCTATATACTTGAGTCCTTTGTTAATTCACTGTGTCAATCCATCATGGTGAGGGTCTTCCTCCCTTTCTCTGACCCTCCACCTTTCCCAGAATGATGTCTTTAAAAATGCTTAAAGTACGTAGATGAAATTTCACCATCCTTAGCTCTAAGAACAACCTGGTTGCACTTTTTCAAGACAACACATCCTTTGATTTCTGGATTGCTGTTACCATGGGTATTGATTATGGATCCAAGTGATATGAAATCCTTCACAACCTCAGTTTTTCCTCCATCTATCATGGTGTTGCCTAGTGGCTCAGTTGTTAGGAGAGTTTCTACCCCCCCCCTTGATATTGAAATGAAACCTGTACTGACAGTTGCAGTCTTTGATTTTCTGCAACAGATGCTTTAAGTCTTCTTTCTGCAACCAAAATTGTGTTCTCTTGCTCTATTCAGACTTCTTGGTGAGTACAAATAAGGGTGGCTACTGGCTAGACAGGATACATCTTTAGGGAAGCCACCTTCCACAGCTTCTCCCCAAAATGTCTGAAAAATTCCTTTCAGGAAGCAAGTACTAATCCAGAAGTCAGGGAGACAGAAATCTTGGAAATTAAGCAACCTTTCAGGACTCCTGGTGGCACTGTGGTTAAAATGCCTAGCTGCTAACCAAGAACCAGCAGAGGAAACCCACCAGCCTTTCCTAGAGAGATGTGGCAACCTGCGTCTATAAAGATTTACAGATTTGGAAGCCTGATGGAGCAGTGTAAGAGCTTCTACCTAACACAACCACAAGCTGCTTAGCTTGCCTCCACTGGAGCTTTTCAGCTTTTTGATGTGGACGGAGAGAAATCTCCCCTTCTTCTATCCTGTAACCACAGTTGTGGTTAAGAAGCTTGAGGATTGAGGCACCAAAGATTGTTTTACATGTAAACATATTCCTCTCTCCAAAACTTATCAGGAAAACAACATGGCACATGTGCCAACAGTTGACTGACCTCAACAGACCAGAGATTGAAAAATTCATCCATAAATCCCATAAAGCTTTTTCCAGGCAGTAGTTTTCAATTAACAGGTAGCTGAAGGAAGGCATAAAGCGGCCTGTTCCCTGTTGTTTGTTAGGTGCCTTCAAAGGGCACTGTGAACAACAGACCTGAACTTTGCCCTATCCTCCATCATCCTCCTGATCCCTGTGCTGGAACTCATTGTTACAGTCACCATGTCAGTCCATCTGGTTGAGGATCTTATGCTGATTCTTCACCCTTCTCAGCATGGTGTGTGTTTCCCAAGGACAGACCCCTCCTGACGACATGTCCAAAGTCTGTGAGATGGTGTTTCAGCATCCTTGCCTCTGAGGAGCACTGTGGAAAAGGATGGGCAATCTCCTCTTGTGCAATTAACTGCCTCTGAAAACCTGCCGGAAAGTCAGCTATGGGTCGGTTCTGACTCTACAGTACACGACAAACATTAAGCAAAAAGGTGACAACTCTAAGTTCAATATGACTGTAAACAACTAAAATGACCTATTCATGTGTTTAAATGAAATAGTCTTAGCATCAAGAAGAAAGCTTTGACAGCATCCACATCAGGTGTCACATTTGGGTACATCAGCAGAGTGGAGTCACTACATTGATTGAGGGAGATGCTTAGTGACCTCGATATGTATCTCAGACTTCTTCCAATGGGTATAATGCCACTGTGATTAATTTACACATCCTCAGTGACTTCCCACAGAGGATGTTGACTCATAGTGACTCTCCACTGGGTTTGCAGGGCTGTAAATCCTAACAGGAAGAGGCTGTCCTCCCTCAGAGATTGTGGATGCAAACCAGCAGAAAGGCATGGCTTTAGGAAAGCAGGACAACTCCCTGAGTGTGCTGCCACCAAAGCTCCCTAATACACACTGTAAAGCGTCACTAATATTTCAATCAATCTCACATTTGCATTCTACTATATAGTTTAGAGAACCCTGGTGTCTTAGTTCAGCACTTATTGCTCTGTTAACTGAAAAAAAAAATCAGTAGTTTGAATCCACCAGATCTCATTTCATTCTACGAAGGCCTCTGAGAAGCTCTGTAGGAGGGGAAATACCCACAGTTGTTAGAATAACTTTATAGTCACACGCTATTGTTGTTAGGTGGATGGGACTGACAGGGACACATGGTGGTCTTGCCCTATCCTGTGACATCCTCATGATCATCAGCTTCCGTCTTACTCAAAGGTTGTAATAATCCATGTCGCATTCCACTACTCTTTTAGGATGATAATAACTAAATAACTACTTTTTTTGTTTGTTTTTTGTTTTATAGTGGTTTATTTACAAAATTTGAATACATTGTTTTTCACACTAGATCTTTCCCATCTCCTTCACCC